GAAAATTCTATTCTTTAAACTTAGAGTTAAGCATCACCTCACAGTGGCAGAGTAGATACAGGGAAGGGATCTTAGGTGGACTGGTAGGACTAATAAAACAATGTTGTGTGTAAGTGCTTTCATAGTCACATCTTTATAGTTGATCTCATTTAAATTCACTGCTCATGTCACGCAAGGTAATGATTATTAAAAGACTATTAAATACACTGCCTGACTCCATCCAAAGCTTCAGGAGCCTCCATTTGAAGCAGTTTAGTAACCATCATTTTGTATAAGCATAACTAAAGACAATGGAAGAACCACTTCCTAGTGCTTTACATCCTGTGGGAATCTTGCCTTGTTGCTATGTGATTTCAGCAGTTACAAATTTCAACACAACTCTGAAAATCTGTGTATTTATATTTGGATTTGTCTCTGAAAGGAAGGGAGGAAAAAAAGAGAACATCAAGGCAACCAACAGTGAACAAAAGTCTGCCAGCCTTCAGCAGTGGGCCAGGAGGTAGAGTTCAGGAAGAGGTATGCATCTTCCTAGAAACCAGATCCGAACAGAAGGCACCCACCCCTCCCTGCCCTCCCCTTCCCTCCCGGCGCTGCACAGAGCAGCTGGGACAAAGTATTCACTATTCACAGGCAGGCAGCAGCTCTTCAGAACACAAAAAAGGAGGAGCTTGTAAAGACAACTGCATACAGACACTGGATATAACTCCCGATCGGCACATTCTCCACATTGTCACTTCTTTCTGCATTGTGGCACACCATATGCTTTTTAAAACACGTAAATTGCAATACTTGAAATGCTGCTTTTGGCCCCAGGCTGGTAACCGAGTCTCCGTACGAGGGCCTGAGGACATTTACGATTGGAAAAAAATTACCAGCAGCAGAAATAACTGTGAAACATTACCTGGCAATTTACTGCATCAGCAGTGCTTCAGTTGTCCCAGCGTTACACATAATTACCAAAACTTACATCCAACACCTTCTCTACTGAGTTGTACAGATACCCTGTGTATGTGCATGACACTCGGAATTGCAGCTCTGTAAGCTGCTTCATCAGTACATCTCATCTCTGCTTGCTTAGCTAAGCAAGGAACCACGGTGCTATCAGGACAAAAGTGTTTTCAGACTTGACATACACAGAACTGCTCGTGTATTTAGGGTCAATTCAGAAGACTTCAGAGGGATTTGGATGATGCGTTGAACGAGCCCGCTTTCAAAACGCATGTCAGCAACAGAATGCACACCACCTCACAATTCTACCCTTGGTGTGAAGTAAATTCACCCGTGTGGTGAACTGTTTTGTGGTACAGAAGCACCTTGATTTCGCAGCTCGCAGAATTATCTGGGTCCCTCATGGCCAAACTAGGGTTTGCACTACCTTGTTCTGTTTTTAAAATACACAAATGTGTCAAAACAGAGTCATGGAAAAAAAGACCTTATGAGGATCTCATAACCTAAGTAACATCCTAAAGTGGAAGGGCAGTCCAAAGCAGCATCCCACACCCACTAAACTACACATCTGCTCAGTGAGAAAACAGAAATATTCTAGGCCCCCCCACTGTTTCCACTCAGAGTATAAAACAAGACCACCAACTGGAAAGTGCATCAATTTGATGAGTTTCAACAATCTCCAGAAGACAACACTTCACACCATGACAGAAGACCAATAATCACTGTATAAAGCAAATTCAAGGGACATAACCTGGAATTCTCTGCCTCTAGAGAGGTATACCAGTATAAAACCACCGAGGGCTGCAGGAGAAAAGGTGTTCATAGCTGACATTAAACAAAGCAAAAAGGACAATGTGTCTTCCAGTGGTTTTCAACAGAGAATCCAGTTGCATACACTCTTCCAGGCAGTGAATTCGTACCTGTTTGCAGAACAGTATAAAGATTTAACCCTCTATTTGACCACTAAACTTACAAGTCACAGAATCACAGAATCGCTCGGTTGGAAAAGCCCTCTGAGATCATCACGTCCAACCGTTCCTGTCTACCCCCTAAACCATATCCTTAAATACCTCGTCTACCCGCTCTTTAAACACATCCAGGGATGGTGACTCCACCACCTCCCTGGGCAGCCTGTTCCAGCTTCTGACGACCCTCTCAGGAAAGAACTTCCTCCTTATCTCTAACCTGAACCTCCCTTGGCACAGCTTGGTGCCGTTTCCCCTTGTTCTATCCCCCATCACCTGGGAGAAGAGCCCAGCATCCACCTCTCTACAAGCTCCCTTGAGGCAGTTGTAGGTGGTGATGAGGTCTCCCCTCAGCCTTCTCTTCTCCAGCCTAAACAAGCCCAGTTCCCTCAGCCGCTCCTCATCAGGCTTGTTCTCCAGAGCCCTCACCATCCTTGTGGCTCTTCTCTGAACACGCTCCAGAATCTCAACAGCCTTCTTATAGTGAGGGGCCCAGAACTGAACACAGCACCAGTGCCGAGTACAGGGGGATGATCACTTCCCTGGACCTGCTGGTCACGCTGTTTTTAATACAGGCCAAGATGCCATTGGCTTTTCTTTTCAGACAAGCTGACAACAATTTTACTTCAGGATAGTACGCCACAACTAACTTCCTAGCTTGCAAGCTCTTCAGTCTGAAATACCAGTTCATACACTATTAGCAAGGCATATATTTTCGCTTCTCACATGGAGTTGAAGGCTCAAGGAACAAAAAGGCAACTAAAAATATATCTGTTTTATTTACCAGTTTTCTAAAAAGCAAAGTCATAAAAATTAGTCACAAGTGGCAAAACCAAAATATATTGCACAGTGTACAAGAAACATTGTTGACATGTTGACAAAGTGTCATCACGAATAAATCATCTTATAACAGTTTGGAAAAATTACAGCTTCAGAATCTTATCTATAAATGGAGGCATGTAGATTTAAAGTTACAGGAAAATATTTTAATACCACCCTGTAAATGCAAACACTTTAAGGATGCAAGATTAAGTCCATAAGTAAGCACATCCACAAAATGCTCTAAATATACTTTTCTCTTCCTTTCACTAAGTTATGGTTACAAGATGGTCATTGAAAAAGAAAAAACCCCAACAAAAAAAGGAACAAATTCAAAAAAAAGAAACAGAAAAAAAGCGTGCTAAAGGAAAGAAGTTCAAAGTGGTTGAGAAGTCCCTGAAAATAATTTGTATAATTATGACGTACTCCTTTCATATAAAGCTTTTACTTTTTCCCCGAACTCTGGTCCAATCAAAACTATTTGTGTTTACATGAAAAAAGGGAATATGTTTAGCATGTCGGTATAGCTGGACTGTTCCATTTATGGTTAAAACATTTAATACAGCGGACGTGAACACCAACATTTTAAAATTTCTCATTCAGTTTATATGTACATATGCTGAACTTGGACCTTGCTGAGCTATTAAAGACAGGAGTCGGATCTCTCTGGGTAGTGCTTCACACCACATTTAAGATACATTTAAATTGTGATTCTATTTGTTTCACACGTTCACGCACTCTGCTGTCTGCAGAACCTGTCTCCAATGCAAGTTTCCCATGATACTGTCCAATTAATAATAATTAATTACACCAATTTTTTCTTCCACTAAAGCAACGCCAGTCACTTCTGCATGTTTTTGGTCATGTCAGATCTAACTTCACATCCTCTTTGTATGGCAAAGAGAAATATTTTCTTAGAATGAAAATAATCTTAAATTTCAGTGAATAGAAACGTTATCCTAATAAAAAAAGAAATGCTTTCCATGAAAAATATTTTAAGACAAACATATCAAAGTTCATTTCATTCCTCCATCTGTTTTTCACGCCAGGACCTGGAGCTGAGATCTAGCAATACTGTAACTAAATGTCCTTTAACTAACCAATACATGAAAGTTACTCTTTCGTGTTCTCTTCCCACATCCAACATGTATAAACAGCACAGGAACATAAAGTACACACATTCAAGTCAATACAATCTCAGAGGCATTAAAATTAAATCCTTGACAGCACAGGATTCCAGTCACACTACGTTTTAGATTATGCAATTCAAATATAGTGAAAGTCAATGCTGTTCTCAAAATCACTTCTTTTTTTTATAAGAACTATCTTCAGATGACAAGAAATGTATAAACCTTTCTTGCCACATGCAAGTTTGATGCTTGTTTAACCACACAGGAAAAAAACGATGGCCAACCTCCTGACAGAACAAATCAGAAATAAAGGTTAAAGTCAAACCAAGCTCCATCTGACAGTCACTGGAGCACACACTGTCATCCTCCGTGGGCTTAGTTTTCCACATCTCTAAGAATAAAGATTTCTCATGTATAAATTCTCAGAAATTATGCTTCAAGGTAATAAACAGTTCATCGTATTGCAGCGCCCATTTAAATAAAAGGCTACAAAGTTGTCAGCACACATCTATGCTTCCTTACACATTCACAGAAGTATTTTAACCCAAGACCATCTCACAAAATCAGTTCAACATTTCTCTTAGACAAAAAAAGGTTCCTACGTTCAAAACTATAGAAAAGAAAGAGGATGAGATCAACTGGTACGAGAAGGGCAAGTGTGAATTGATTTGCTTGAAGGTTATTTCTTCTACTGTGCTGGACCACTTCAAATATTAAGAATAAAGCTAAAGAGTCACTAAGCAAAATTGCTAGAACAATTTATAATGCTGAATCATTACCAAAAGGAGATTTGAAGAACCATATGTACGTAAGGGGATTTTCAGTATTGATTAACCCACTCGACAAAAACAGTAGGCATCAACGAATGTTTCTATAGTTTATGAAGAAATACTTGAGGCATGTAAGTGCAAAATATGAGTCTTTCTTTTTTAAAGAAAACCTATACCATCTTCAACGAAGTCCTTACTGGGAAGAGATTGCCACCATTTAAAAAGAGATTCATTCACAAATGACTCTTCTAGAGCAAGAAAAACATTTGTTTTTATGAACTGGATTCATCTTGCTGGATGCAAGATTAAAACCTTTATGGATCATCACTGTAGTTTTGAAGCAGCTTTGAAAACAACCGGCTCAAAGGCTATGTTTGTTCTTCACTAACTTGACTCAGGGAAACCAAGTTGTTTTCCCCACTGTCTTCAATCATTTCATTAAGGTCCATTTCATGGATTTCTTCATCATACGATGTATAAAAGTTACTCTGTATATTGTCCTCACAAAAAATACATTCCTAAAGAAAAAGAAAAAGAAAATTATAGAAACACTCCTAAGTCAAAGAAAAAAAAACCCCCAAAACTTTTCCAAACAACAGTCAATTTGCAGGTGATCCCCGAGTCCAAAGAAACCTTTACATCTGTGCTGCAACTGCCACATACATTCCACTTGCAAAGTTCCCCCACCCAATCATTCTATAATGTGTAGTATATCAATCCAAATACTTGAGCGCTCTACTGGAAGCAGTAATGTCACAGATCTTTTCTAATGCTGACATTTTACAGGCATTTCCAATCACCTTTTCCTCCATTTGACTGCTAACCCTGCAGTAATAAGTTCATGTCAGCTGCAGTGCTCAAAAGACTGAAGCGACTGTACGCTTGCCCAGGTTGGATATTACATATGCAGAAACATTAACATCAGGATTAGGATTCCACTGCAATTCTATTACACTGACTTTTGAAATACTCATGTGCAAAGAGAGCTTCTGTATTTTGAGAACTTGTGTGCAAAAAAGCTATACAAGATTGAAAGCTCAGAGAAATGAGAATGCGGTCAGGTGCGTAAGTAAAATAAACAACAAATAAAACTGCAAAGGTGCCTTTTTTTTTCCTTTTTTCCTTTTCAAGCCATTAATCCATGTATAGAATCAAGGCAAGAGATGATCCTCCATGAGAACTCTGACAGAAAAAAGGAACAGTGTACTCCCGTTACTTTTATACTTTCTAGAAAGCAATCGGCATAAATTTCTAGTGAAGTTTCTGGCTGTGCTGATAAAGGATTTCAAACACATACACAGACATTTAAAAATAGAAAGGAAATTTCTTATACTGTATTCACCACTACATTGACTTTCCCATTGGAAAGAAGACTTATCGTAAATTGAATCAAGGCAGAAACACGCCTCCAGAAAGCATGGAAGTCTGAATAAATTACTTTAATCTATGTAACTGATCAAGCTTTCATAGCAACACAAACAGAAAAGACTAATATAGGCAGCTAATAATTTAAGCCCTGCTATACATGCAAAAGTAACTAACTCATTTAAACTTACAGAATTAGCAACGGTTTTTGGCAGTCCACCTTGCTGAATCCATGGATGAACTTCAATAAGCTCTCTTTTTTGTTCGTCTGTAAATTTTGGTTGTAGTTTCTGCATTTGCTTTAATTTTTGCTTATCTTCTTTTAAAACTGTTTCCAAATCCCTAAAATAAAGATTATTGAGAAATTGAGCTTCAGCAGTTTCTGGGGTTGACACTTAAATAAGCTTACACAGTCAAATACTAACATTTTTAAAAGACTATCTTTGTTCTTGAATGTTAAGCTTACAAATCTTATATTGGAAGAAAATTAAGGGTGGTTATTTCAGCAGCTTTCTGTATTTGCAGACAACTTTAACACGTCTCTGCTGGCTCATCGGCTTTTCAAATTCTATCAGTGAAAACACTTTTCTTAGAGCTATTCGGGCAGCATCACTGGTGAAACCGCCAAGAACTCCACTGTCCCTCTGCTGTTGCTGCAGTAAGTTCCAAGTTCCCCTTCACTGGGAGGACAACTCAATACGGACACATAAGACAGTAAAGCAGAAGAAGTGAGATATGTTTAAGAATGTCAGCAAGAATGGATTAAACTCCTGGACTGAGAGGAAGAGCTCTAGAAAACACTGCTTTATTTCAGCAGCCAAAGTTTTCTCTTCCCCCCAGCACCCCACCTTGCTTCAGAAACTTATAAACCCAAACCGCATCACACCAAATATTGACAAGCTGTATACCTATATAAGGGATGACAACAGAAAGCAAGTTCCAAGAAATCCAGCACTATTTCCTTGCATACCTAAGCATGGGTTGATTTTATACTTCTCAAGCACCGTGCTCTGACAGTGAGCTTAACTCTTCTTACCACAGCATCCTGGTTTATGCTATGCTCTCCTTAGCAGGCTTTGCTACTTTTACAGTCTACTGGAATTCTCATCTACAGTTGTCAACCTTTTAGGCTACATGCCTAAATGCCAAGGTATTATTAAATCCAGAGGAAAAAAAAAAATCTGAAGTTCTTATGATGCGTTCTCTGTTTTTTTCCCCATCATCCTTGTGCTTTCGTATTTTGAAAGCTCGTTTTCCTTCCCTTCCAAAAGACTGTCTTTACTAAACTTCCTATTTATTTAACAATACCATTCACTGCCCCCAGGAAATACATACAAGATTACAAAAAATCTTCACACTTGTCACCCCCTCTTTCCGTAT